CAACCCTACTTACTACGTCCCATGATCCTCGAAGTATAATGTAGGGGCCATAGTAATTAGAAAAGGGTTTTGGGGCCCGTTGTATGATAGTTATATATACATATATTATAGGAATCCCCTAAATAGTATAGGTATTTATTAAAGCCCCTATACTGAATCGTCATAATAGCCCTTATAGTAGCCCTTAGAGGCCTCTTTAAATGAACCCTATTCTAATTATTTAGGCCCCTATATTCATATTACACCCCAAACTCCAAACATCCTGAGGCTCCCGGCCAAGTGGAACAGAACAGCGAAAGGGCACATGATCACTGCACTCTCCTTGGGGATTTCAGGGTTTGGGGCCTTAGGGTTTCCGGATTTACTGTTTCGAATTCCGAGGGGATTCGCTGCTTCGAGCTTCGAGTGTTGCATGGTAGGGGTCCGTGGGTTGCCCTACATTCGGGCTTACAGTTTTGGGTTTAAAGGGGCTTGTAAGGGAACCTGAACCCTAAAACAAGGGCATAAGGGCCTAGTCTAGATCCTAGGTTCCGTGAGTTCTGGGGTGTTGGGTTGATTGGGACGTGGTCCAGGGGTTCGAAGTTTGGGAGTTTCTTGAAGCCGCCGCCTGCTCCAAGGAGCCGTTCCGAGCGACCTGTGAACGGTAGCTCCGCTCCTAAGCTGTCCTTCCCCTCCTCCTAAGCCTTCCGCTGAGGGAGGGCACCGATATCGATGTTTAGCCGCGGCCGGAGAAGCACTAGCCAGCTGACCCACTCTTGACAATCTTGGCGGCACTGGCCACGGCATCCTCAGCGCGACCAAAGCCACTTCTTGCACGCGGCCTGCTGCACTGCATCCAAGTCTTTCTCCGCCTTCTTCTCGGCGAACACCTTGGATCTCTCCTTGAAGTTGCACAGCCGCCCATGTCGGCCAACGTCACGGCCACACGAAGAGCACCATCCTAGAAGGAACTGGCCCCTAAAGCAAACACTTTCTTTCACGGTTTAGGGTTTAAGGGGTTAGGGGTATCGTGGCTACTGTTGCGGTCAGGGGGACTGTAGGATGAAAGGCTGCACCCAAGATATGCCGAGGTCGGCACGATGGCGCTCTTGGTGTAGCCAGGGGGTTTCCTGCAGGTGTTTCGATGCTCGGGCTTGTGGGTTTAGGCAGGACTCGGGCTGATGGGTTTTAGGGTCTAATGTTTAGGGTTTAGGGTTTGGGCTTAATTAGGGTTTATGGTTTGGGATTTTGGGTGGTTGATTGACAATGTTGAAGCCTTGTGAGAAGAACAGCGGCGTTCGAGGGCAGATTCGGTTGCTGAGCTGAGGCGGTACTATAGACTATACTTGCAGCGTCTCATCATCTCTACAGCCACACTTCCAACACACTTGACAATTTTCCTTGCTCCTACAAGCAGCTGTTACTATTCAGGTCTTTGCCGTAAATACGGTACTTAGAAACCAGCCCTGCACATTTCATAGCTGCGAACCGGAATAATCGCAACAATGGCCGACTGAGTCAGAATCAAACTGCCGAAACATTGGATGGTGAGGGCTGTTGACCGAGTCTGGGACGGGGGGCGGCGGGGGGTAGGGGCGGGGCAGGGCAGTATGGCGGGACCAGGGAGGGTCAAAACAAGTGGACAGATGCAGGGAACAAGTGGGCACAAATTGAACTCCCGAACCCTACCGTCAAGGGTGTATATAAGGTTTAAGGTTCCGATGTTCCGAAACCCTGAAGCCGAACACAGAAGCAGCAAGAAGAAGAACAACAACACATGGCCTGGAGCCACGGAGAAGGGCATACTTATCAGCCCAGAAGGCAAAGGCGCAATAGATTGCCTCGGTTCTCAGGAAAGTATCGATTCAAGGGTCCACCGCATGGAATTTGCATCCATATGCTTCATGTACCTGTCTGTCTTTTGGCAGCGGTGGACTATCTGGAAAAAACCTTGAATCCTAAACACGGCACAGTAAACTTCTAACCTGCAAACCCCGAATGTCTCAAGCCTGAACTGCAGAACCTTAGGGTTTAGGGTTAACCTGTAGCCGGAAAGACCTACCTTTTTAGGGTTCCTTATTATGGTTTCTATATATAGTTCCTTAAAAAGGTAGGTCCTTTCGGCTCCAGGTAGGGTTTAGGGCAATATTTGGCGGCAGGAACAATTCCAATAGGGTCTCGGGGCATCCTGCACTAAAAAGTGCTACGAAACACTAATCAATGAAAAACCAGTTCTCAGACTCATAATAAACTCTCAGTTTGAGGAAGCTACTCTCAGCCCCCTCTGCCACCCCCTGAAGCCCTTCGAGCACAGCAAGCAAGTGCATGGCATCTTCGGAGTTGCGGGTCCCTACATTTTGATACCAGGGTTTAGGGTTAACGGTTTAGGGATTCAGGGCTTAAAGCTTAAGGGTTTCAGGGTGTAGAGTTTTGAGTTTAAAGTTTAGGGTTTAGGGGTTTAGAGTTTAGGGTTTGGGAACCACCTGCGGATCCGCAACCCTACTGTTTCAAGGGTTGGATCCTGTAATTCAGGGGTCTTACCCGACTATTTTGTAGAGTGGGGAACTACATGCACAGTATATCCCAAGACAGGTGGGTTGATTCAGCGCCTAAGAGTAAGTAGCAAGAGCATCCCTTTTTAGTCTCATAGCCCCTGTATAGTGATAACGAAGTATTTTCCCAAACCCGGTTCCCATTCATTCAGGCCCCTCTTAGTCTGGCTCCATGGGCTGCAGGGTTTGCGGCCAAGGGTTTCGGGTTTACTTGTAGCTCCACACCCCGCAAAATTGTAGGTTAAGACTCCTTGATTTACAGGTTCTAAGCCTTAACCCCCATCGGGTGTTGGATCGGATCCGCAACTACGGGGGCTAAGGGCAGCTTTAGGAGTTTGGCACTTCCGCATGTAGGATCCAAAATTATGTGCCTTGGGCTGAAGCTTCAGAAATTTTGGGTCGTGGATTGCGGGCTTCAGAGTCTCGGATGTACGATCCTGCACCCTCCACGATCACACATCAACGCCAACCCAGGTATTCGATCAAAAGAGGGTGAAGCGGCAAACCTAAAATGTAAGCCATGTAAGCCTTAAAACCCCAAAACCCTGGATCCAACTCTGCAAGTCCTACCCAACTATCTTCATCCCTGGAGAGCTGAAGACTCTCGAAACCCGAACACCTGGCCAGGGCACGCCGAAAATGTAGAGCACAGGAAAGCCAGAGGAGTACATCAAGACACAGAAGACCTCGCTAGCGCCGAGCGGGGAAGGCGGTTTGTCGCAGGTCGATACAACGGCGTTCCATGCGGGCATCAGACGCTCGAAGTCGGGCTTTGTAATGGCTGGCTTCAGGGTTCCAGGCTTCAGGATTAGAAGTTTCGAACCTTTGCCCTCCACCCGGCCTACTTGGCGTGTTCGGGGTTGTAAAACATAACGCTGAAAAACTGCGAGTCCGAGATATGAGGGTTAAGGATTTAGGATTGCAGGCTGATTGCATGAGCACGAACATACAAGGCTTTATGCTTGGGTCATGCTGATTGCAAGGCTCGTCTGGCATGATATTCGTAGGACCCTACACACTGACTAACGGTTTACGGTTTAGGGCAACACCACCTACCTAGAAACCCTGAAGCCTCAACATTTCGCCTGCAACAACTAAGCTGTCCATCGGTCCAAGGCGTGGCTGTGAAAAAGATTTGGATTTTGGGTAAGGGCTTAAGTTTCAGGCTTTGGATTTCAGGATTCAAGCTTTGGGTTCAAGGTCTACGAACCCGAAGTTTGAGGAATATATCATAAATTACAGTAGGATCCCTAATCTGGTTCGAGCAATAATTCTTAATTCAGGGATATTGGAGTCTTGGGAAGAGTGCTTCTTCCATAAACTATCCACTAGATGTAATATACTGGGCTTTCAAGTAGCCAGTGAGAAAGAAGGTATAAACTCATATCTTACCATGGTTCCTTTGAGAAAATAATTGAAGGTATGGTATCCCAAAGCCCAGTATAGGGGCCTTAATCATTAGAATAGGGTCTTGGTGTATGTTATACTATAGCTGTAATAAGGAAGATAGGTAATTATTACGGAGCCTTGATGACTGGTCCAGTATCATTGTGGAACTAAAGCTCAACTAGGGTTTAGGGTATCCGAGGGGAACTCAAGGTTAGCGTGTAGGGTTTAGGGGGGGGTGTCGGGCATATGGTATCCTAACCAGGTTCAAGATTACCAACTCTACTGCTGAAGAGTTTCCTTTCACTTTATTCCTTTGTCTTTCTTACTGCTATAGCCGCCAAGTGAGTTACCATTACCAGCTCCTGTGTTCTAGTGCCTGGTGTGGTGTACTTAAACGAAAGAAGGGCGCGCATTTCAGCGAGAAGCAGAAATCTAGGAACCACCCAGAAACTCCAAAACCCCTTAATTAAGGAATATACCTCAAACTATAGTAGGATCCCTAATATGATTTAAGGAATATTCCTTAATTAAGGGATATTGGAGTCTCTGGGCACCACGAGCAGTCCGGGATCAACCTCGAAGGGACTCTGATTTCGGTCTGTTCACCCGATAAGCTGACGATGGAGAACTGACAGAAGGTTCTATGGTTCATTCCTGCCGTTATTTCCAGAGGCAGGCGTGAACTTAGAGTCTTCAGTTCGGTAAGCCATGAGGGTTGTGAGGGGTCTAGCGAGTCTAGCATACTCTAACCGCCATAGCTGCAAAACTGCAGCGGGTTCTGTTGATGGTATAAATCCTCCATTACCATAAGAACCCTCAACTATGGGAATTTTGGTATATTCCTTATTTTTGGGTAATGCAGGATTTATATCATCAACCGGTTGCTCCTTACATCGACCGCCTCGCGTGGACTTTTGAGGCTCCTGTTTAGCAGTTGGAAGCCGTGGCAGCCAATCAGAGAGCCCAATCATTGCTCCTACAGTTTCATTTTTTTTTTTGAGGGCCCTTTTCCTCCCTGCTACAGTCGGAATACCTGTTACAGTTTCAGGGTTTAGGTTTTAGGGTTATGAATCATGAACATACTAACTATCTCGGGGTTCATTTTTATGGCAAATCTAGGGAGGGCACCACGACCAGCGTCTCGGCCACTCGCAGCGACAGTGTCCACTCAGGCAGTACGTGGTACCTCGGCAACGGACGCAGGCTGAGCGATTTATATATGGATTTAGGTTAAGCCTCAACTGCAAACCCCAAACCATCAACTCTACACCCTAGCTTGATTAGCTGGGGTTTAGCGTTCAGGGATGAGGATGAAAAGTGCGAACACGAGGCAACAAAGGGTTTAGGATTTTTGGGTTTAGGGTTTACTTGAGTCTTGTGACTACTTGGGGCTGGCGGCGGTGCACTAACACTGCTTTACGTTTCGGACTTAGGATGTAGCTCTTAGACTTGTAACGTATAGGGCCCCGGGGGATTCGGGTCCATCGGCTGCAGGTTTTAACGAATTATGTGCGGATTTACATATAAAGACTCAGGTGTACATGAGGATTGGGATGGAGGCGTTTCCAAATCCATCATGACATAATTTAGGGGCCTCAATAGTTAGAATAGGATTTTGGGGCCCATTATACTATACTTGTAATAAAACCCCAAAATAGTATAGGTAATTATTTAGGCGCCTATATTAGTCAAACGCTTCAACAAATGATGCTTATCAAACTCAGTTTTCAGGAGAACCTTCAACGAAGGATTCCTTCGTCTTACTATCCAGCCTGTTCAGGTTTAGCAAAGGAAATCCCAAAACAACAAGGACAATGGAACTACCGGGAACCCTAAACCCTAAACTGCACCCTAAACTGAATCTTCTGCTCTGATGTTGGGCCCCGAGCTCGTTCAGCAGCTCTTGAGAGTGCGTGTCTGGCAGCGGGGCACTTTGCGAGCGCTGGAGGCAGAGCACACGTTTGACAGATGAGTATGAGCATAGTATCGGGCTTGGTATATGGTGTAGACTTTAGTGGAGGGTTTGTTTTTTTCTTTTATAGGGATGTCTAGAATTGGGAGGTGTCTACAGCAATCACCTGCCAAGATCCTTGGAGGTAATTAGCGCTGAGAGTGGCTTTTTGAAAAAGAATCCTTGTGGCCTTGCAAGACCAATTTGTGCTCTGCAGGTCGAGCCTCATGATAGGCTTTGGACGCTTTGGGCTTAGGGTTCCCGGTTTGAGCTTTTTGGGCCGGCTCAGCTGCTCGGTTCAGGGATCGGGATAGGCCCTAAAGTCCTAGACCCTCAAACCCCGAAGAGAAGCTGAACGAGCCCGTAAACCCCGTCTCCTGGAAGCCTGAAGCCTGAATGTCAAAACGAAGACTTCCAAAACCGCCAAGCCTAAACTGAAAGAACACGAAGCCCTAAAACCCGACAGGTTTTGGAGCTCAACCTTCGCAAATTTGGGAGCTTGGGCTCTGAGGTGGTTGTTCATGGCTTTGGGGCTTACGAGGTGAATGCACAAGCCTTAGCATTAGAAGAAGGTTCCTAAAACTAACAGAACAATCTGAACAACCTTGCCATCTATGCATTGCAAGGGAATGTTCGTACCACTCCTGCTTATTCCGACCTACAGTACGGTGCCGTGGGTCAGCGTTTATGGTGTAGGCTGCAGCATGAACCGGTTCTGGACGGCAGCTGAAGTCTTGCCTCGCTGCGATGTCAAACCTGTAAGCCCAAAGCTCTGACACCCCAAATCCGAAAGCCTGCAATCCCTAAACCCTACAGTTAAGCCACAGCGCCAGAAACCAATGAACATCCCATGACCCTTAAGTATCCCCTAAATCTTCGGATCCTATATATATATATATATATATATGGTAACCCCCCCCCCCCAGGACCAACCTCGGCCATTGTCCTGCTCATTACTGTCTTCACAGCGTCATGAATAAGAGCCGAAACCACTGTAAATACCGATGGTGTTTGTGTTCCCGTACAAAGTTTGCACTCTCGACGCCTCTTGACAGACTGGCAAAAAACAGGGTCCAATTTTATGGACACCATTTACACTCTCGGCGCGTCTTGTCGGAGTGGTAAAAGACAGAGTCCAGTTTGTGTGCCTCATCCTTTATTAATTATTGTCATCTTGTCAAAGTCTTATTATTAGTTTCAGTCTTAAAAAACAGTGTTAACATTGGTATTGACTTAATTTTGTTCTAAGTTTTAACCTCAATTATTGTGAGCAGTAACCTTAATATTTTTGCTAGCGTTAGCATTATTATTAGTTTTGTGTCATTACTAATTTTAGAAGTTCTAACAATGCTGCTGGTATCTGTCCAATATTACTGTTCGTTTGATTAGTGTTCCTGTTAGTGCTGATGCTGGTGTAAGTGTCAACGTCAGTGTTAGTCTTAATATTAATATGAGTATTAGTGCTCCAGTTTAATTTAATATATGTCTATAGCAGTGTTAGTGTTAGTGTTAGTATTCGTATTAATATTAGACGTGGGCTGGGCTTTAAAAACTTAGTCTTAGTACATTATGTGTATAAGTATTCATATGTGTATATTCAGTATATTGGTATATAAACAAAACATATATATTCATTAAAAATTTTTTGGGTATACTCGTATATTGGTATATTAGTAACAATGGTCTATTGGTATATCAGTTTCTCAGTATATTAGTATATTAATTTATTAGTATATTAGTATAATACTATAACCATACATATTGGTAAATGAAAACATTGAGTTTTTAACAATCTGATGCATTCATTTCCTTGTGCCTTATTCTGATGTATTCTTTAGTATACATTACAAAAACGATATTGACATTAATATGATGTTTGTAAATTCATATTGGTATTGATATTAATATGAGTATGTAATAATCTTTCTATATTTGTATGAGCACAAATAATTTTGCTAGTATTATGCATGTTCGTACTAGCCGAAGTATTAGTGCTCATATTAATATCAATATGGTTCTAAAGAGACTATTGATGTCGGTATTCGTACTGAGAATAATATTGTTAAGAACATGAGCATAAATACCCGTAGGAATATTCATACCTATGCTTGTATTGGTATTAATATTCGTATTAGCATGAGTACTAGCATTAGTACGTATCTAGGCATGACGATTCTTATATAAAGGGGAACATGATTATTAGTATTCGTAAGAACATTAGTTTTCCTATACATTAATGCTAACTAATATTACTATGCATATTAGTATTGGCAAGAACATTAAAGTTCGTGTTCACATCAATTCTAAAATTGGTATTAGTACAGTTTTTTCAATATTAGGAGTAGATACTAGTAGTAGAATTAAAATTAGTATGAACAAAACATGCGTTGGTATTCGTCGGAATATGAAACTTGAGGTTACTCTTCGTATGAGTTACTAGTACTACTGAAAAACATACCAATGCTGATATTAATACGAATGCTAACATTCATGTATGAGCATGTTATTATGCACGTTCGCACTAGCCTTAGTGCTAATATTAGCATGAATATGAGTACTCCAAAAATGAGTAATTTCACGAATATGCATAGCCAATATTCATACTAGCGATAATACTAGCTATAGTATGTATATTAGTATTCGCATCAAGACTATTCATACAATGTACATGATTTCAAGTATTCTTGGGAACATCAGTATTCATACTAGCATACAATCACTTTCACCAGTAGTATTACTATAAGTATTAGTACTCGTATGAGTATTATAGTTTTCAAAGTTTTCAAAAGAATATCAATATTACTACAAGTATCAGTTGCACAGACACGTCAACCGGCGACGTCGCGAGGTCGAGTTCCCTAAATTCTCTAATCACTGCTTCCATGCCTCGAATTTACAGAATGCGTGAGTTCCTGCAGACTCCCTAAATCCCTAAAGTCTTTACATACCCTAATTTCCAGCCCCATGTGTTGGTTTTAGCGCATTCCCTAACATTCCTGACTCCCAGCCAGGACCATGTGTTGGATTTAGGGAATTCCCTAAATTCCCTAAATCCCCTAATTTCCCTAAATTCCCTAAATTCCCTAATTCCCTACCCCATGTGTTGGATTTGGGGAATTCCCTATTTCCCTAAATTCCCTAAATTCCCTAAATTCCCTAAATTCCTAAATTCCCTAAATTCCCTAAATTCCCTAAATTCCCTAAATTCCCTAAATTCCCTAAATTCCCTAAATTCCCTACCCATGAACGGAAACCATTGAATCTTCTCCATGGGGGTCAGACTTAGGGAATTTAGGGAATTTAGGGAATTTAAGGAATTTAGGGAATTTAGGGAATTTAGGGAATTTAGGGAAATAGGGAATTCCCCAAATCCAACACATGGGGTAGGGAATTAGGGAATTTAGGGAATTTAGGGAAATACCTAAATCATCCTAAATCCAATGGGTAGGGAATTAGGGAATTTAGGGAATTCAGGGTTGGTCTTGGAGGGGGGGGCTAGCATATATATATATATATATACATACATACATATATATCTATACACATACATATATATATATATATATGTGAAGACCAGGACCACTAATTCAAAGAAGTCACCTAAAATTGGGAGGATCCGCCTTTGCAGAAGAACCACCGTATGAGCGGGTCGACCGTCAACACCTCAGTTGCAAATCGGCATTTAGGAGCCTGAACATTTTAGAACAGGGTTCCCCTGAAGCTTCCAAAGTTCAGTTAAGGTTTCTATAAGGGCTAGTGTAACGGAGAGTAGTGGTTTTAGTAAATTAGAATATGCCTTTGGAGCGCGGGTACATGTATGTATACATGTATGTGTATGCCAAAGACACGCACATACATACTTACCTACCTACCTACATACCTACATGCCTACATACCTACATGTCTACATACCTACATACATAGATGCGCATACTCTGCATATACATATATGAGTATAGCTCTATTGTAAGTATAATAACTCTATCGTAAGTATGTTTATAAATATATATGTACACATAAATGTGTAAATACCTCTACATTACTGCGAAGGGTATTTTGCTGATCACTGAACCATTACTATTCTGACTCATATTGTATGAAGGTCTTCAGGTTCAGGGGTGTAGGGCACCCTGTTGCCCGGCAGCTCGAGGTCTACGCTTGGGGCTTGTGGCTTCCCAAAAGAGCCCGGAACTCCGAATGCTCCACGAACGGGCTTGGGGCTTTGTGTTTAGGGTTTAGGGATTGGATCCCTGAGTATCCATGTGCAGTGCAGTTCGTCTCTACTCTACTTTAGCCTGAGTCTCCTACGTATAGGCACTTTAGTGTCCGCATAATATATGTCTGCATATAGTACGGTTAATCTGGATTCATGGAGCATCATGGAACATTAAAATATGTTGGGGTTACGGATCGGGGCTTTAGCGGTTCCGGTCTGAACAACCCAGAAACTCCAATATCCCTGAATTGAGGAAAATTCCTTACATCATTCGGGATCCTACTATAATTTAGGGTATACTCCTCAATTAAGGGATATTGGAGCCCCCTAAACCCTCAACCCTATAGGAACTCTTAAAGGAACCCTTAGAGATGTCTTTGAAGGGATCTTTGGAGTCTCTGGGAATCATAGGGAATCTTAGGGGGAAGGGGGGTAGGGAGCCTCAACACCTATAATAAAAAGAACCTAACAAGGCTTATTTAAGGAAGTATAGTCCCCTTTCCCCTCCCTCTTACCCCCCTATAAGGGTCCCTATCAGGGAAGCTGGGACAGAGGCCCAAAGGACGGGAAGCGCCACGGAGCACGCGATCTGCGTAAGCGAGCTAATGCACAGTTCAGGGTAGGTTTAGGACTTAGGTTCAGGGTTTATGGTTTAAGTTTAGGGTTGAAGTTTGGGGTTTAGGGTTTAAGTTTAGGGTTGAAGTTTGGGGTTCAAGGTTTAAGTTTAGGGTGAAGTTTGGGGTTTAGGGTTTAATTTAAGGTTGAAGTTTAGGGTTTATGGTTTAAGTTTAGGGTTGAAGTTTAGGGTTTATGGTTTAAGTTAAGGGTTGAAGTTTGGGGTATAGGGTTTAAGTTTAGGGTTGAAGTTTGGGAAACGGTGGACCTATGGAAAGATCCTGGGTACCCATGGACCCTTCTCAACCCTACTCCTGGCTCTTTTAAAAAGGGACCTTGTTGAGAGGGTCTATATCCCCAAATGTTTCCCTAATCCTAACTCCGAAAGGTGTCAGGGTCACGTTCGACGTGGTCCCTTGCAGATACAGGGTGTCAGTCGACTTCGAACATTGGGATTTCGGGCTGACTGAAAGAAAAAAACCATGTTTTCTTTCAACACCCCGGGCCCAGAAAAACTTATCAAGTGGTCCGGCTGTACATCTCGAGGGGACGAACAGTATTTGAACACACATGGGTGGCAGGAGACGTGCTTTTGGACGCGGCCCGCTTTTGTTGCATCGCTGCTCAGCATGCTTTGCCGCCCCATAGACCGCGACCAGAACTCCAAAGAATGAACATAGTCAACAGTGACAGTCATCTTTCTGAAGCCGACTTCCTAAATCTACATACCAGAAAATCCTAAACTTTGAGCCCAAACCTGACCCGGATTCCGACATCCTACAACATCCTAAATGGAAGATTCCGAAAATTCGGGGTCCCTTGTTTTGGGGCCCTCTTAATCAGGATCCTACGATTTAGGGTCCTATATAAGAGTCCCCTATTTTCGGAAACTCCCAAAACCCTAATCCCTAAACCGTTTATAGTATTGTAGAACCCTTATAGATCCCTTTAAGGAGCCCTTTAAAGGAGCCCTTTAAAGGAACCCTTTAAAGGAACCCCTTTAAAGGAACCCTTTAAAGGAACCCGTTAAAGGAACCCTTTAAAGGAACCCTTTAAAGGAATCCCTTTAAAGGAGCCCTTTAAAGGAGCCCTTTAAAGGAACCCTTTAAAGGAACCCCTTTAAAGGAACCCTTTAAAGGAACCCGTTAAAGGAACCCTTTAAAGGAACCCTTTAAAGGAACCCGTTAAAGGAACCCTTTAAAGGAACCCTTTAAAGGAGCCCTTTAAAGGAACCCTTTAAAGGAACCCTTTAAAGGAACCCTTAAAGGAACTCTTTAAAGGAACCCTTTAAAGGAACCCTTTAAAGGAACCCTTTAAAGGAACCCTTTAAAGGAACCCTTTAAAGGAACCCTTTAAAGGAACCCTTTAAAGGATTCCTCAACCTGAAGTTCGAAGCAAATGGACTTAGTATGTACTTAAAGGGCCCCTTAAAAGGCTCCTTAAAGGGATCTATAGGGTTTAGGGTTTAGGGTCTACTTAGTATGTACACTTATATGTACCCTAATTGGGATTAGAAGTACATATAAGTGTAGTTACCTGAACTATAACCCCAGTTACTAAGCCCCATGAACCTCTAAGTATGGGGCCTCATAAACACAATGGGGTGTCAGGGCTTTAGGGTTTAGGATTCCGGGAGCAAAAACTCAATGACGATCTTCGTACAAGGCTTATAGAGGACTGTCTTTCTAAATTGGTCGCTGTGCGGTTCCGGATCTCGGACGATTGGGGTCCGTTTTGGGCTTAGGGTTTTGGGAGTCTGCGAAGACGCGAAGACTAAAATTTGCAGCCTGCAACTCCTCACTTTCTCAGGGTTTGGTTTCCTTTTGGTCACTTCATGGTATAACGAGTAAAGGTTTTTTGATGATTAAAAACAGGGTGATGGCGTGTCAGAATTCAAATGCTACGATAGGTATAGCCGGGAAACCTGGAAACCTGAGGAACACTGTCATGTCTGTAGATGAAAGCCCTATGTAAGAGAAAGAGCTCTTTGGTCTCTAGCCCGGTGGATGAATCCACACCGTGACATCCCGCCTGACAGATGATCGTGATCACAAGCATGTTGCCGATGGTGACGAACCTGAGGAAACTCCTAACCTAAACCCTACCACACCCTCAACAGAGACCTTCCTTCCACCCTAAGCGGGATCAGCGAAAGGCTTGTTTACTTAAGCACCCAGGGTTCCGAACCCAACCGCAGTAGCACAGCTTTATAGTTTGAAGTCATGCTGTAGGCATGTGATTAACAACAGCTCCAGCAACAAGTGATTGTGCATGTAAGCATGCAGCATACTTGCACCATGTATGTACGTGCTTAAAGCTTGAACGGTGGTCGAAATGCAGTAAGAGCTAGTAGAGTGGCAGTAAGAGACACGTACGCTCATGCATAAGCAATGCAGTGATGGTAAACATGTTTATCACAGTACTCACACGGCAATGTCAATACCCAGGTTCCACAATGCTCCACACAAGCAAACCCGTGACAGCAGCAATGTCAATGTAGCAATGCCGACAACACTGTCTTTTGATACGGTTACAACCCACAACCGGTACTGCTAAGGCCAAGAACTTGTACAACCTCAGCTGCCCTCAACCCGAATAGAACCATGGTATGCTGGATGCCGGCCCTAAACCCTAAATCCCAGTAAGAACCATGACAAACTCTAAACCCTAAACCTGCCAAAACAAGAACCATCACCAAGTTAACGCCGAGAGTTGAAGGGAAGGATAACGGATCTTTAAAGTTCTAAGGTTCGCACAACCCTAAGCCCTAAACACTAAAATCCAACGATATAGGGGCCTTTTTAATTAGAATAGTGTTTGGGGGTCCATTATACGAGACTCAAACTGAGGAAACCCCAAAGCCATGAAGGTAATTATATTGAGGCCCGTATATTAAAACCCCCACTCCGAAGATGAGGCCAGGGCCAACTTGGATTCAGATCGTCGTGAGGTCCTTGGCCGAAATTGAGCCTGGGCAATTTGCCGGGCCGACGGGCTTTAAAAGATTAGGGTTTAGGGTTTAGTTTAGGGTTTAGGGCTTAGGGTTTAGGGCTTAAGGTTTAGGGCTTAGGGTTTAGGGCTTAGGGTTTAGGGCTTAGGGTTTAGGGTTAAGGGTTTAGGGTTTGGGGGTTTGCAGTTGCAGGGGTTCCTTTACAGTAGAAGCCAGAAAGTTGGAATAGGATTATCCTAACCCTTCTATGGTAAATTATAGGGTATCCTACCATGAAGCCATATTCCAACTTTCTGGAGTTTCCTATAAAGGGTTAAGGTTTAGGGTTTAGGATTTAGGCTTTAAAGGGTTACTAGAAGGGTATTATAAGGGTTCCTTAATCGGGCTCTATAAGGGGTTAGAGTTTCCGAAAATTGGGGTACCTTAGGGTCCTTATAATCAGCATCCCACTATTTAGGGTACTATAGTAGGGTCCCCTATTTCCGGACAGTCCCATTTAAGGATTAAGGGTTACAGGGTTTTAGGCTTTGGGGTCTAGAGTCTAGTCTAGGGCTCTGGGTTCAGATAATAGGGGTCATTTGGAGTTTAGGTTTCCTTTTGGGGCTCAGGGTTGAGCATTTAGGAGTTTAGGGTTTGCGACTGAGGCTGTAGGCACTTTAAGGTTCAGGATTTAGGGGTTTACTTGGAGGGGCAGGGGACTTAGTAAGTAGGTTATGAGTAGAGTTGTAAATGGAGTTACCCCAATAATAACCCTACTTATAAACGACTTACCAAGTTCCCTGCCACTCCAAGTAGGGTCTAGCGGTTGGCATGACTGAAGGACGGCCGGGCCAATGAGTGAAAGATGTTCTTCTTCAGGGATCTATGACTTTTGGCTGTAGACAAGTGTAAAGGCGCCCGAATTTAGGCACCGAAGCGCTGGAGCCCTTTAGCCCGTAAGACGCTGAAGCTAAACCAGACCCGCAGCCCTAGACGCTAAAACAACCCTGTAACCATATGGGCGGTTGTCAACATTCGGGTCCCCTAAATACTAGGTGCCGTATTATATTAAGGACCCAAAAAGGGACCTTAATTCTGACAACCACCCAATATCCTCAGCCGCAAATCCTCCAAACCTGCAGCATCCTGTAACGCTCGAGCGCGGAAGGTAACCCTGGGTCAGGACAGCTCGGCTCAGCCCCGGGCGCTCCGAACAAGGAGTTGTCATTCGTGTAGAAGTTTATACCAATCTGGCCGGGTTGACGGGTTTACTTGGAGGGGGAGGGGACTTAGTAAGTCGTTTATAAGTAGGGTTATAATTGGGGTAACTCCATTTAGGGTACTTATAACTCTACTTATAACCTACTTACTAAGTCCCCTGCCCCTCCAAGTAGGTTTAGGGCCGGTCGAGGTTGGTCTGTAGTTAGGGGCCTGCGCGGTTCTGTTAGCAAGCATCTTCCTTTCGATGTAACATAGGAAACCTCTCAATTAGAGTAGGTTTTTGGGGAGATTATACTTTAATTGTATTAGGGCCCAAAAGGGGAATACTGTTAGTAATCCGTCCGACCTCTATACTATAAGCATACTTTCTAACAGAGCTTGGAAGGCGTGGAAGAGTACTGGGGAAGCTTGAATAAGGGGTACTCCAAGGCAAATACATGGGTTTTGGCGTAGGGGCCTGCCTAATTGGAAGAAGGCTTTGGGGCATGCATAAGTGTAATAAGGAACCCTAGGGAATAGTGTGATTAATCATTTAGGCTTCTATGTTGGGCCATCTTCGGGATACTAGGCTTTGGATTTCGCGTGAGCATTTAGGATTTAAACATGTGCCAGCCGAGGATGCGACCAAGTTGTAGACGATTGCCGTGTTCACCAAAGTGGCCAAGAAGAGGTTGAACCTCGGTGCTTCGACTCAGGCCTAAACCGTAAACCCCTAATCTCATGTCTCGAAACAGCCACTCCCTGGCTATGTCAGGCCAGAAACCTGTTCAAACAAGCTAAAGCCGTGGTAAAGCAGCTAATATAGGGGCTTGAATAATTAGAATAAGGTTTCGGGGCCCTTTGTACGATACTTATAATATGGAACCCCCACAAGAGTATTGGTAATTATGGAGGCCGCTATATCCTAAACCCTAAACCCTATAGATCCCTTAATAGCCCCCTATGTAGCTACCCTGTATTTTGCTTCCCACCCAGGCCACATCCAAAAAAACATGCCCAAGCCATCCTCAGAAGCGGACACCTGCGAAGCGGCGAGGTCTGTGGCAGTCTGATACCTGCCCAGACTGTCGAAGTACCTGCGATTGCAGGGCTTTACTTTATTAGGGATCTAAGGACTCATATAGGGTTCCTTTAAAGAGATCTATGAGGGCTCCTTTAAGGGATCTATAGGGTTTAGGGCTCTAAAGACTCACATTTTAAGGCTTTTGGGCCCAAAGACCATACTATATAAGGCGTTTGGGCCATTTTGATCCCTAGGGTTAGAGGTTTGTTTCTTCAGGCTTTGTGGTGCTTCCGGAATAGTTATTTTAGTTATTTTTGGTTATTATCAAAAACGTTCTTGTTGTTTGGTTCTTTCGGGCTTCAAGGCTTGTGTTTAGGGTTGTTGAGAATCTGTGTTTTGCAGCTGTGTTGCACGTTGCGCATTTGATGTGGGTCGTAATTACTTGCGACATCAGGACTTCTTCTATAGGCCATCATCATGGGCTTTGATCCGGCCCCTGGCAGTTTAGTCGCTTGGGGCCTTACCCATAGGTCCCGTTAAAGGAACCCGATGGAACCCTTTAAGGAACCCTGTTATAGACCCCTTAGCCAAGTATCCCTAAAGTGCCCTTTAAGAGAGCTCTGGGTTGTGGCTGCATGGGGGTTTCCGAAAATTAGGGGTACCTTATTTTGGGCTCCTTATAATAAGGCTCCTACTTGTTAGGGTACTATATTAGGGTCCCCTATTTTCGAAAACTATCACATGTCGAGTTGCTTTGCGAATCCTTTCGTGGACCTTGAATTCAAGCTTCGCAAGGTTTGCCTGGCTGTTTACTGTGCTTCGAACAGGGCCACGGTTTAGGGCTTAGCGGTTTAGGGTTTAGTGAACCTTAGGGCCTGAGTACCCTCGCCCTTAAAGGGTAAACTTTTAATCTATGGCGGGATCGTATAAACCCCAAAGGGTTAAAGGCAACCTACTCAGCTCCCATTGAACCGAACCTCCCCAGCCCAGCAAGCCGACTGCCCAGTTAGTTCGGCTAGTCAGAGATCCGAGACCTTTGAAACTCACGGGCCCAACCGGTTTAGGGTTTAGGGTTTAGGGCAACCCCCACGGAAACAATACTTTCAGAATCAACTACCTTAGAAGAACCCCAAACGTTGAAAAGTTGAGTGTACAGCCAAAAAGGAAAATGACCCTGAACTCGACCCTACGAGGAACCAGGACGCTCCACGTCAGGATTCCAGGATTCATCCTGTTCTAGGAGAATAACCTACTTGTCGGGTATCATGGGGAGATAAAGGTTAACCTTCTTGGGTATGTGGTAATATAGGGATTATATAGGGGCTATACTACCCCAAAAAGAACATCGACAGCAAAATACTCCTCAAGTAAAGAGCCCTGTATGCTTCATGCGATATTACATGCCTTACTGGTAGCGAGCTCGTGGGGAACACCCTTCTTCTCTGGTAGCAGGCTTTCTGGGAACATAAAATCTTCGACAAAAAAACAGACCATACGCTGCAGTTCTTGGAGTTGTCCGGCCATCGAGTTTTAAGTCAGAGTTCTACAGGGATTTGCGGGCTTGGAGTTTGGCAGTTGGCAAAGACATGAGGTTCGGCCCAGAGTTGTAGGTACGGCGCTGCCCCTCGCCCTAAACCTGACGCCAACAACAACACTAAGCCAGCTTTTCTGTCTACAAGGGATCGAAGGGGGCACGCGAACAGCACCAGCAAGATGTTGTTGATGACCATCACGGCCACAACCTTACTTCCAAGTATCATGGTCAAATGTCAAACCAGCTGCATGCGCAAGTAGCATGCAATCACAACTTCCGACGTACCTCGATACAACTTGCTTGAGAACGGCAAAAGCAGTATATAGTAAACGTCTGCACGGCTGTGTGGTTTCTTTACTTTAGCAGCCTTAGCATCATCAAACCTATTAACACGAGCAAAAGCACTGACAAAAGCCGACTTGTTTTTCAGATCTGCGTGGATACCAGTATGGCACAGGATTGCAAGTAAGGCGAATGAGCCCAAATGGTTTCCATGCCGGATACAATCTGAAAAGACACCCTTGGCAGCAAACCTATATCTGATTCAACAATATACCCGAAACCTTACACCAATTGCACCCTAAGTCCTTAAACTGAGACCGCAGATGAAGTCCTCTTCCCGCAAGACATAAGCACAGTATCAATCGGAGCTTCGAGTTTATCTTGAAATCGCTCTGAAAACGAAGTCTCCCCCAAACCCTAAACCCTTAGCCCTAAACGATTTCTGTGTAGAAAGCCCATATATAACAACACCGTTATAGATCCGTTGTAGTAGCCCTGAATGATGCTTAATGATAATCACAGCAAGCCGTACAGCAACCCCTAAAGTAACCCTTCAAGACTCACATGCACCAGGGCCACAAAAAACAGTGGTAGCTCAGTCTGGGACGCCACCCATGCGAACACCCAACTGCGCAACAAAGACGAGTTGAGGAAGGGGTTTGGGGTTCTCCGTTTCGGGTTTAGGGCTTTAGGGGTTTGGGGGTTTTACGGTGGAGGATTTGGGTATTAAGGGTTCTCTCGTTTTGCGCAGCACTGGGTCTTTGGGCTTTCGAAGTATGAAGCGGGATTGCTCAGAACTATACCTACGAAGACCGGGCACTTTCGTTGTAGTTCAATGATCTTTCCTGTCCTGAAGGATAATGTAGGAACCTGGTTAAGAAACCTTGGGCCTTTATTGAGGTTCCTGATATGAATCCTTCTATTTTGGGGTTATAGGCCCAGGGTTTCTTAATCAGTTTCATCCAGTATGTGGTTTGTCCCATATTTGGAGGCTCTCAAGGTACAGAGGCGCCTCCCGTTCGTGTGCTTGCGGGCCAGAAAGCTGAGGACCCGTTCACAAGCTGCTTCTGGGCCCCTCTCACCTCAAATGCCAGCATTACTCAAAGCCGGTCTCTGGGGAGGCCTGCAAGGGTGGGATGAAGGTAGGTAGGATGAAGGATCCCTTATATTGGGACTCTAATGTGGGAGTACCCCACCTTCCTTCATCCCACTTTTTGCGGAGCAGCGAGCAGCCAGCCCGAGGGAGTGAGAAGCGACGGACGTTTTGAACAATCTTGGTGCCATGCAGCAGAGGGGGCTGTGGCTGCGGCCATGCCGCAGGGTAGTACGGTTGATGATATAAATCCTGCACTCCCCATAGTAGGGAATATACCATAACTCCCATACTTTAGGGTCCTTAAGGTAATGCAGGATTTATATCATCAACCGTAGAACCATCTTGAAATCTTGCAAGTGCCGTACCCAGGCGACCTTGACCATTGTCCGCCAGGGCCGGTGGGGGCCGAAGCCTTGCTTGTCATTCCCCTCGGCTGGGACCTAAGAATCTCGCTTCTTCAACAACCGGGGCCACAAAAAGTTCATACTTTCTAACATAGAGCGAATATATAAGGCCAAAAAGTTTGAAGTTCCCCCGTTCACTATCTAAGGAATAGCGATTTGAAAGCAACCGGGCTTGCCGTTCCAGACAAACACACATCGATCGTCGGGCTTGCAGCCTCCACAAGTTTCAATCGCGAACGAAGCAATTTAAAGACTTGACCTGAAGATGCATGCCCATATCTGCACCCAAAGCCTAGACCCCAGATCCTGCCTAAGCCCCACAACAGAGGGGTGCTACTAACGAGAACAGGATCTGTTTGGGGTACATTGCAGCATCGGCACATTCTCTTTCTTATTCAAGCATGTATATGCAGACGTCCTATTACCTCCCCCCTCTCCCACCCCCGTAAAGACCTGCTGGGTCGGAATTTCAGTTATAGTATTTATTCCCTAGGGTTCCTGAACCAAAACCTGCCGGGATATACCCCAAGCCCTATTACACTACAAGACCCGCACAGCATCTCGTTTGCGTACACCCTCATGCGGAACCCTTTCGAGGGCCTTCAACAGGAACTCCATAAATTGAGGTTAGACCCACCATTCGGTGGGCAGCAGACCGACCCTCAACGTGGGTGCTTGTTACGGGATTTAAGTTAAGTTGCCATCATAGGGATGTATAAGGGCTCCTTTAAGGGATCTATAAGGTTTCAAGGTTGAAGAGTTTGATTTAAGCTACCATCATAGGGATCGAAATTAAGTAATATGAACCCAGACTCGAACTCTAAGATCCTAAACCCCAAGACACTAAGTCGCCCACTAATTCCCGACGCCCCTCAACCCCAAGACCCTAAAGCCCCGAGACGCTAAGATCCCCAAGATCCCTGGATGCCAAGACCCTGAGAACTCGAAGACCCTAAACCTACTAGTCCCGAAATCCTACACCCTAAACCTACTGAACCCTGCTAAACCCTAAACCCTGAACCCGAAACCCTAAACCCTAAACCCTAAACCCCAAACCCTAAACCCGAAACCCTAAACCTCGGAAGCAGAGGAACCTGGGTGCCCTGGTGCCAGATGAAATCTTCGCAGATCTGGCGAAGGCTTAGGGCTTTAGGGGCCGTTTAGGGTTTAGGAATTCATAAGGGTTCCTTTGAGGTAGAAGCCAGAAAGTTGGAATATGATTATCCTAACCCTTCTATGGTAAATTATAGGGTATCCTACCATGAAACCATATTCCAACTTTCTGGAGTTCCCTGTAAAGGGATCCGTAAGGGAACTATAAGGGATCTAGTCGGGTTTAGGGCTTATTTGGGGATCCCAAAACCTACCGTTTTAAGGGTTTGACCATGAATTAGAGGGCCTCTAATTAAGGGGTCATAACCTACCATTTGTAAGGTTTGGAGTCACAGGTGGGGATAAGGCTTTAGGGGTTTTGAGGCTTTCGAAGTTGCGGTTTAGGGCATTAGGATGTGCCTTAGACCCTGAACCCGTCAACCCCCCGGTTTCTGTTTGGCTTCTTGGATTCTGGGACTGTTTGAGTTTAGGATCCCAGTGCCCGGGTCGTACGAGGATCATCCGCAAAAGTGCGCGTGGATTTCCCCCTTAACCCTAAACCGAAACCTATACACCCTGAACCATCCTAAACCCTATCCCTCAAGGTACATGTCGAATTTACTGCTTGATGGAATTAGGTGAAGACGGCCTGGCCGTCACACAGCTGCGGGCAGGTCACCGTGAAAGCCTTACCTCACTGATTAGAATAGGGTTTTGGGCTCCTTTATGGTATAGTTAAATCATAGGAGCTCTCAGGGATGCTAAGTGGACATTATTCAGGCTTCTATAAGTAGAAAAATGAATAGTCGCCATGGCACCAAGGCAGTAGCAGTATAGCAAATTCGACGACGATGACGACATCAACGACTCACTATCAAAAGCGCAGATGTCTACCTCCAGCACGATACCTGTGACCATACAACTCCTCGGCAGGGCATGTAGGGTCGTTTGGTGCCCGAAGGACCCCCTGAACCGTAAAACCCTACGGAAGCCTTTTCATACAACCCGAACCTTGTAAACTTCCGAGGTGTCAGGGTGTATTGAGGGCAGAACCCATTCCGAAACCCTCAGACCTCAACATAAGCCCTGATGTCGGGGCCTCAATACTTAGAACTCACGGATTCTGGGGGCTGCTTATTATAATAAGTATATAGTCTAATATAACCCCAAACCCTATTCCAATTATTCAGGCCCCTACATTGCCCTACATTACATGCCACTGTGAACCGAAACGAGTGCGAAGCAAATCTCCCAAGCCCGGAGAAGCATCCTCTGCGGCTTCGTTCTCGTTTTTGTCATAGTAGCCTGCCAGGTGCCATGTTCTTCGTCACCTACACTACGGTTTAGGTTTAGGGTGATACGGCAAACCCCAGAAAGTTGGAAATCGGATTAAGGCCAAATAATGCTGGGATTCCCTATACATTACTCTTAAGGATTGAGGCTATTGGGTTTCCAACTTTTAGGCTTCTACCGTAGGGTGATTAACCAAGAGTGAAACAGTGCAAGACTAGACCGAAAACCAATGCAACAAGCAGCACAGAAAATACAGAAACAGCGCTTACCCTGAACCCCTGCAAACCATCACTGAAACCCATAAACCATCTCAAACTAAGCCCAAAACCCTGCACCCTCCACTCTGAAGACAGAGCCTTGATCCCTGTAACTCAGAACGCTGTAATTAGTACAAAACGTAAACCCCAGATCTCAAACCCCCTCAACCCTAAGCCCCCTACACCCGTGTTTGGCAAACCTATTATACAGTCTACAGTCCAAACCTCTGGAGATACTCTACGAACCATACTGACTTTTCAAAACCCAGTTTTATTCACCAAATACTGGAGCCACGAACCCCATGCTTTCAAACATGCAGCGCTGTAGTGAGAGCACGATTTCGGTAAGCGGCCAGAATTGAGCACGGCACTGTAGCAGCAGCAGTGCTACCACACTGATGTGGAAGGAAACAAACTTTACCCCTGAACACGCCCTTGCGATCCTCAGCCACTAAAGGTTTCAAGCCGTTATACACCCCAAATGTCCCAAACCCTGGATGCTCTCCCAGCCCATACGTGAGCCCTGCTCTAAACCCTAAGTAACCCTCAACCATACATGTCAAGTGCATACGAACTCCCTCAATAAACCTTAACTGCCTTAACTATCCCTGAGCCCCTATAGTCCGAATGCCTTGAGCCTCCGTGCAAGACCGAACCCTAAACCGTAATCCCCAAACCCTAACCCCCAAACCCTAAACGCAGCCCGGAGTCCTGGGATCCGCAAGAAGGTGTCTTTGGCGATCTGCTGTGTGCAGTAGCATCTCAACCTCGCGGGAAGCTTCATAAGCTCATATTCGGACGGTTGAGTGTTTCAGAGGGTATAATCGGATCCTACTATTAGCTAAGGCCACAGAGGAAACGCGCATCAGCAATCAGGTAATTATCTACGCTCCTATTTGTCGGAGTCGGCTCTTTCCAGAGAGTGTTAGGATTTAAAGGTTTGGGGCTTGAGGGTTCGGCGTTCAGGGTTTTGGGGCTTTAGGTTGGCTTTTCGATTCTTTTCGATAATGGTTTTGAGGCTAGGGCCTCAGGGGGATTCTTAGAGAGGGTGAATTCAGATCTCTACCAAAAATGCAGCAGCACCCTGAACCCTCAAGCCTTTAAACTTGACCCTAATCCTCACCTTAAACCCTAATCCTCACCGTAAACCCTCAAGCTTCCCTTAAACCCTAAAGCTGCCCACGCCTAGGACTCCCCAACATGCTCTAGGATACCCAGTAACCTAAGAATAAGAAGGCCTCTCTTTTTGGTATTGGGTAACTTTATAAGGAACCTAGGACTACAAATAGGGAATAAGGGTACTACTGGGCATCCTAGTGCTCGACCCGAGCGGCCAAAAACGAAAAAGCCCAGGTACGGTCCTCTGCGGGGGAAGCCACCAACCCTAAGCGCGATGTACCTAGAAGGGTTCCTTTACAGGGAACTCCAGAAAGTTGGAATATAGTTTCAGGGTAGGATACCCTATAATTTACCATAAAGGGTTTAGGATAATCATATTCCAACTTTCTGGCTTTTACTTTAAGAGGTCTGTAAGGGGACCATCAGGGTTTAGGACTTAAGGGTCCATGTACCCCCCTCTAGTATAGACTTTGGCCTGTCAGGGGCTCCTATGTAGGTACTTCACCATTTAGGTACATGCAGCCCTGGGAAAAGCCCGCATATTTCCGAACTCCAGTCGAAGCCTCAACCCGTCGCCGTGGACTAGCCCACATCTTCCAATACCCCTTAATTAAGGAATGTATCTTAAGATCCAGTTTTGCTATTGTACCTTAAACTTTGGTATTTCTACTATGCTTTAGGGTTTACTCCATAATAATTGCGGGATGTTGGAAGATCTGGGGTAGTCACAATCCCAGAGACTCCAATATCCCTTAAATACGGAATATTCCTTAAATCATATTAGGGATCCTACTATAATTTAAGGAATATTCCTTAGTTAAGGGATATTGGAGTCTCTGGGATGTATGATACTGCGCATGCAGTTACCCAAGTGACGACCTCCCAAAACCCGGCGAAACTCCGTGTAACAAAAACTATATGGGAGTTTCCGAATTAAGGGGTACCATATTTTGGGATCCTTGCAGTAAGGATCCTACTATTTAGGGTACCATATTAGGGTCCCCTATTTTCGGAAACTCCCATATAACCCTATGAAACCCCTGATACAAACCCTGTCACGCCCAATGTCTTTCGCTTAACGGTTCTTCCTATTCCAGTATCATGGGGAACTAAAGGTTAACTTTTGGAATTAGATGCGGAATAAAGTCTCCTCAACAAGTAGTAAAGTTGAAGGTTACCTACTCTACTAAGCATACTGCAGGGGCCTACGTGATTATCAAAACATACTATAGGGGCCTATGTGATTATCAATTCTGTTTTCCGGTTCTTCATTACAACATGTTAGTATTATGATGATAACCCTATTCTAATCATTGAGGCCCCTCTCTAAACAGAATTGCAGAAGCCCCTCGCGGTACCGGCCTCGAGCCCAAGATCTTGTCCTCACCGGCCGCAACAGCCACACGCGCAGCCTGAAGGTCTTTGAAAACAGTGTCCTTGAGGCTTTGCAAACTTTGAGTATACAGGTATTTGCTTCTTGAGGTTTGCTCAAGGTTTAGGTGCTGAGCTAGTAAGTAATAAAAGTGCTAGAGGCAGCTCATAGGTTGTCAACAGTATCATAAGGAAAGCTTATGCAGTGTTGATGGATGGCCGATAGAAGCTTCATGGGATTAGGGGGTTTTCTTCGCTACTGTAGAATGGATTTAAAGAGCCATCCAACAAAGCGTAAATAAGATCCTCTTAGGCCCAATAGGCCAAATTGTGTCCCCAGCTGCCTACCCGAAATCCTAGACAATGCCGACGTATGTGCTAAGGGAATTCAAAGTCGACCCGACGGAGTTAGGGGTTTAGGGTTTGAAGGGCTCAGGGTTCAGGAGTTAGGGGTCAGGGTTTAGGGCTTCAGCCAATAGAGGTTTAGGGGATAAGGGATGTGCCATTACCCGCCTTGGGTCATCATCAGTCTGGTTGTTTTACTTGTCCGCTGTTCTTGCTATTCAAAACCACCGTTCTGGCTGATGATCTTGTTATATACTCACGTACCAATAGATCGTGCTGCGGCTGTTGGCTTTAAGTCTTCTTATTCGCGTGCTTGTTAAACATCTCAGGGTGCCATTCGAAGTAGATGTGCTGGCAGCCGCTCAGTTCGAGACATGATTTGACATCATCAATTGAGGGTTCATTCTGCCTTGTGGCGCAGAGTCACTAGCCCTATGGAAACACTTCGGAAGCAGACTCAGGCACATGTCGTGGATGCGCATCGGTTTAAGATTCAGGGCATAGGGTGTGAGGTGTGGGGTCTAGGGATCTATAGGTGAACCCTCAAGCCTACTTAGTTAGAGGAGGTTCACACATGATAAAATATTTTTTATTGCAACGGGCTGGAGAAGCGGCTTGCCGACAGTACATGCTTTCGCCCAGGCGCCAACGTGTAGCCATCCACGAAGAGTCCGTAGTCGTCACCGTCGCCCAGGTAGCCGAAGGTGATGTGGGAGTTTCCGCAAATAGGGGACCCTAATATAATACCCTGAATAGAGGTACCCTTATTATAAGGACCCCAGAATATGGTACCCCTATTTTCGGAAACTCCCATGTCGCGCTTTTTGGTGAACCTGAAATCCTCCATGGTCTCGTCGAGATCGCCTTTGAGCACCTCCGCGAAAGGTGCCATGGTCTCAGTCACGAACCTCTTCGAAGCGCAAACTGTGGCTGGGATCAGGCTGATGGAGTAGAAAAAGCCTTTATCGGTCGCCCACAAAGATCGGGTTCCGTAAGTCATAGCCTCAAGGCCGTCGGAAGGGAGTGGCGCACACAATTGGGTGGACCCGTTGTGAATCCTGGCGGCATTCGACATCACCTCCGACCGCCTAGGGTTATAATTAAGGTAACTACACTTCTATGTACTTATAATCCCAATTAAGGTACTTATAACTGTACTTACTAAGTCCATGAACCTCCAAGTAAACCCTAAACCCTGAACCCTTAAAGGGAAGCCCCTTATAGAGCCCTATAGTACCCTTAAAAGCAGCCCTTAACCCTAGCTACTAAGTCCCATGAAGCTGAGAAATTCGAAAGCCGGAGCAGCCCTGCCTCGACTGTGACAGGATAGAGGCCTGGGCGAGGTCTCCGCAACACGACTGCGAAGTCTCCAAGGTTTAGGGTTCAGTGTCTTTCGGGTTTAGGGTTCTAGGGTTTAGGGTTTAGGGTTTGAGGGTTTAGGGTCTAGAATTTAGAGTTTATAGTATAGGGTTCAGTGTTTAAAGGGTCAGGGTCTGCCTATTGGTCCGGTTTGTTTGCGAAACCAACCTTGAAGCTCGCAAGTATGTAGGCTTATAAGGGATCTATGAGGGTTCCTTTTAAGGGAACTTTAGGTTTAGGGTTTAGGGGTTTAGGGTTTAGGGTCTAGGGACCTCAGTAAACCCCGTAAAGTTGGAAACCGGATTAAGGCCAAATAGTGCTTCGGATTCCCTCTACGTTACTCTTAAGGATTGGGGCTATTGGGTTTCCAACTTTTCGGCTGCTACTGTACCTGTATCCCCAAACCCTACAAAATAGTAGGTTATGACCCCTTAATTACAGGGCCTGACCCTTAAAACGGTAGGTTTTTGGATCCCCAGGTATAAGCCCTATATCCGATGAAAATACTATAAATCCTGGGGTCCCTTTAAAGGGATCTGTAAGGGTACCTTGAAAGGGTTCCTTTAAGGGATCTATTCCATCTGGTTGTGAAAGATTATCTGGTCGCGTGTGTTTCAGGCTTGAGCGAAAGCCGGGCCCGAAGTCCGAAACCCCAAAGCTCTGAACCCTTACTTGGAAGGGCAGGGGACTTAGTAAGGGCTCTTAAAGGGCTCCTTAAAGGGATCGAGAGGGGTTCCTTAAAGGGATCTTACCCAGAGACTCCAATATCCCTTAATTAAGGACCATTAAGGAATATACCTTAAATTATAGTAGGATCCCTTATATTATTTTAGGTTTAAAGGGAACTCCAGAAAGTTGGAATATGGTTACGGTTTCAGGGTAGGATACCTAAAAATTTACCATAGAAGGGTTTAGGATAATCATATTCCAACTTTCTGGCTTTTACTTTACCGCCTTGACACTTGCGCATCCTCTCTCGGTATCGTTAATTGAGAGAACTGCGGGAAATTAGCTCCGGCTGGGCAGCGTTTAGGCCATGTAAGGCTGCCAGGCTAAACCTCAGCACTTTCGCAGAAAGTCTTCAAGCATCGTTCTCTTCCGCATGGGGATCAGGTAATTTCAACAGAATCCTGATATACATTAAAGCACAGTAATCTCGCTACCCGGAGAAGTGATGCTACAAAGTATTGCTGCTCTTAACCTACTGTAATGTGACCAGAATATAACGAAAGGAGCCTTCGAAACAATTGAAACCAGCTCTCGCCGCAAAGCCCTAAACCCTAAACCCTGGTCGGCTGACCAAAGTACCCGCACACAAGCCTGAAACACATCTTGAGGCAATGAAGCTCTTGTAGGAGGGTCGGGCCTAAACTATGTAGGCTTTATGATTAACTGTTTAAGGTTTGGGCACGGGAGAAACATTGATCGAACATTTTAGTGTACACGCTACACATAACCATGCCTCCACAAGGACTACAAACGAACGACTTTGGAAAGGGACTGGCCCATACAAATAGGTACCGTTCGTCGTTGAAAGTCAGGATACCTAAAGCCTAAACCATATATTAAGGCACGTTACATCGGGCAAAGCCTAAACCTTCCGAGCATGCCGGCAGTCTTGTCGGAGGCGAATCGCGGGCGTGCCTCAAAAGGCTTGAGGTGCGCTCCCTCCCTGCTTGCTTGCTTAGTATATAAGTCGTTTCTAAGTTGGGTTAGCTCCATTTGGGTACTTATAACTCTGCTTATAACCTAACAACTAAGTCCCCTCTCGGATTTTCTGTTGCGATGCTTACTATAAGGGCCTGTATAATTAGAACATGGTTTTGGGGTATACGTTAAATCTACATTGTCTCGAAGCCCTGAAAATAGTATTGGTAGTTATTCAGGCCCCTATCTTACTGCTTTTCGGGTTGACGGTTTAGGGGTGCAGGGTTTATGGGTTGGCGTTTTGGGTCCAGGGTGTAAGGCTTTGCATGCATTGGCTAATCTATAGCGACCAAAGCACAGCCTAAGATTATCACAGCTGTTTCTGTAGGTTTCGTGTAACTAGGCACGTTTATGGGTTGTGCATGCTCCCTTACAGTTATAGCCTTATGGTCATTCAACTTCTCCACCCCAGCGCATAGCCTAAAGCAAATAACGACCAACAGCACAACATTAAAACCCGACCTGAATCTTAAAGAAACTCAACCCTACGTCGGACCTATGCAAATCCTGACACTACAACCCACGGGTCAGGATCTCATTGGGTGATACTATAGTTTGATCATCTAACGAACCCGGCAAATCGTGAACAGTATCACCCTAAACTTTAAACCCTGAACCCTAAACCCTAACCCCTAAATCCTGAACCCTAAATCCTGAACCCTAAGATCCTGAACCCTAAACACGCAACCCGAAACCCTACTGTATGTATTCAGGCTTCTCTTTTCGACGAGCCCGAATCCCCAACCCGGCGTCCTTTCCTCGTGGTCTGAGAACATGCATGGAAGCGTAAGGTTTTCAATCTCGAGAGTACTGTAGAATATATTCTATTATAAATTATTATTCACTAAAGTTAATCTAGATAATAAAACTCATCTAAACAGATAGAAAATTACATAAAATAATACTTATGTTAATGATACTAAACTAAGTAAGCCCTGGAGCGGATGTTGGGAGTCAGCTGCGGAGTCCCTTGCAAAAGACGCTGGAAGCCTCAAGTAAGGAATACACCTAAGGGTTCTTAAAGGGTTCCTTAAAAGGATCTATAAGTTAGTAGGAGGCCTAATATGATTTAAAGTATAAGGCATATACCCAAAGGTTCTTAATGGGATCTATAAGTTACTAGGATGCCAAATATGATTTAACGTATAAGGAACACTCCTTAATCAAGGTATCTTTGGGAGTCTTTGGGAAGCACCACGCAACCACCTAAGAGCACGGAACCCCGCAGTCTTGAATCCCTCTCCCCACGCCGAAGGAAGCATGGCTCCTCTGTAGGGCTTACAGAGTTTAGGGCCTATAGGCCCCCACCCCGTAATGGTAGTATAATAGGAATATAATAGGGCCTTAATATAATCCATATAGTCACTATTACAGGGGGGCCGCTTCTAATCTGTAGGGTTCAAAGAGTTTGAGAGTTTAGCGTTTAGGGTTTAATGTGTCAACTACTACAGCAAGAGCAAGGACTGGGTGCCGAACAAGCTCTTCGTAACCCCTTAGCCTAAGCCCTAACCCCCAGCCGTATATACGCCCCCCATACGACCCTACACTCAACATGCAACCGCGCCGTATAAATCGTAACAGACCGAACCCAAATCGAATGAGGCTCCGACGGCTGTAGTCCTCAATGACAATGTCATCGTACCGAACGCCTGGGGCGGAGGGATGGGTAGAAGAAGGGTTTCAGTTGGGTTCCCAGTCGTTGAGGCTTGTGGTTCCGGGATCGGTCGTGTTTGTGGATGCTTTTGTTGTTGCGGTGGTGTGTATACCCTATTTTTTGCTTTGGTGAACACCACCTCCAACCCCTTCCATGATAACCTATGAACCTCTCCAAAAGCCCCAGACGAAACCATAGAGGGTCCTAAACAAACCCTCTAGAAGCCCTGCCAAAACTCAATGGATTCAAAGGGAAACTAATGCGCATGATGTGGCTTTGGGTTCGGCGTTTAGTTTAGGGTTTGGCGTCTAGGGTAAACGACCCAGCACTCACTTATCCATAGGCCACCATTTTTTCTAGAGCCCTATACACCCCGGAGCCCTACACCCGAAAGCTGTAGACCCGTCTCTGAAGGTGCAAGTGAACCGGCGAAGCCAGTCGCACAAGGTCAGGGAGCAGTCAACACAGCAGCTTCCTAATTCAGCTCTGTGTGTGTCGGGTTGCTGCTGAGAGTTCCTTGAAGTAGGGCTTCAACTCCTGCCATCCAGGTTTTCGAGATCCAATATGCATAGTACTGCTATGACGACGACGACAACGACTACTACTACTGCTGCGCCTGCTCCTGCTACTGCTCTTGCTTCTGCTCCTTCTCATACTACAACAACTACTGCTTCTGCTACTGCTACTCCAACCCTAAATCCAACTCCAACTCCTAGGCCTACTCCTGCTCCTACAACAACAACTACTGCTACTGCTACTGCTACTGCTACTGCTACTGCTACTGCTACTGCTACTGCTACTGCTACTGCTACTACTACTACTACTACTACTACTGCTACTACTACTACTACTACTACTACTGCTACTACTACTACTACTACTACTACTACTACTACTACTACTACTACTACTACTACTACTACTACTACTACTACTACTACTACTACTACTACTACTACTACTACTACTACTACTACTACTACTACTACTACTACTACTACTACTACTACTACTACTACTACTACTACTACTACTACTACTACTACTACTACTACTATTACTACTACTACTGCTGCTGTGCCTGCTCGTGCTACTGCTCTTGCTTCTGCTCCTTTTCATACTACAACAACTACTGCTTCTGCTAGCGCTACTCCAACCATAAATCCAACTCCAACTCCTACGCCTACTCCTGCTCCTACAACAACAACTACTGCTACTGCTACTGCTACTGCTGCTGCTACTACTACAACTACTACTTCTGCTACTACTACAACAACAAAAACTACTACTACTACTACTACTACTACTACTACTACTACTACTACTACTACTACTGCTGCGCCTGCTCCTGCTACTGCTCTTGCTTCTGCTCCTTCTCATACTACAACAACTACTACTTCTGCTACTGCTACTCCAACCCTAAATCCAACTCCAACTCCCACGCCTACTCCTGCTCCTACAACAACAACTACTGCTACTGCTACTGCTACTCCAACCCTAAATCCAACTCCAACTCCCACGCCTACTCCTGCTCCTACAACAACAACTACTGCTACTGCTACTGCTACTGCTACTGCTACTACTACAACTACTACTACTGCTGCTACTACTACTACTACTACTACAGCGACGATCAAGAGCAGGACCAATACCCTTTGTACAGATGATACCTGTCGCTGCCAAAATCAGGGCTCTTCGTGTCTTCAAGCAAGCCCTTCTTGGAGGTTCATGGGACTTAGTACCTACAGTTATAGTTAGGGACACTACACTTACATGTGCTTATAATCCCAATTAGGGTACTTACAACTGTACTCACTAAGTCCCATGAGCCTTTAAGTTGCCAAGCCCCCTGCAATGAGCCGGTATGGAAAAGGGCTGCCCATTTGCATCGAACAGGCCGGAACCTGGCTTTAGACATTAAATTTTCCGAAGAGCGATGAACGCGTAGATGGACGGACCAATGAGGAAGAAAGGGTTCAGTACGGGCAGGGGGCTTAAGAAGGGCTTGCATTAAAGATTCTCGCTTCTAGCTTCTACGGCTCGCCCCGGAAAGCAGGTGGGTTGACCTTCACAGCAAAGAACTTACGATTCAAGGTACAGAGAGGCTCACGGTGAGCGACATTCTCCCCAAATCCTACACCGTAAACTCCAAGCCCTGAACCCCTGAGCCGAGGGATCGGGGAGGCCGAAAACAGTATTGGTAATTATTTAGGCCCCTATATTAAATCCTTCTACTAGCCCTTATAGTAGCCCTGATAGACCCTCATAGGCAAGAGGGCACTACTCAGGACCTATTGTAGGCTCAGTTCGGAGTTAGAACGCATCGTAAGCGTTTCTGCGCCTGGCGTCTTATCCGGAGATCTTGGAGGTTTATGGTTAGGCTCAAGCTGTTTAGGGTCTTGGTGTTTAGGGTTTATAACGTTTAGGATTTATGGGTTTAGGGTTTAGGGTTCAAGCGGCTTAGGGTTTCGGGTTTAAGGGTTCAGGGTTTGGGGTTTAGGGCTCTCGCGTGAGTCACACGCAGTTACCAGTCTAGTTCCTTGATCCTGAGTATAGGAAGTGCCCACCATCTTACTCTCAACCACGAAGCACTTCTTTGCACGACAAGTCCCCATCACATGCGAAATCGACATGCGGACAATATACACGAACGCATGGCCACAGAAAGAATTAATCCTGTGACAAGGCCGCACAGAATGCTAAGAGCCTCGAACCATAACATAGACGACATAAGCATAGACAATGAACCGTGCGTCTTCAAGTGGCATGCCCCTTGTTCAAGACTGACGTAATCGGGCGAGGCAAGAAGTATTGCAACCTCGCGGCAAGCAAAAGGCCGGAGAGCAGGCAGAAGGCCAGCCCGCACGACGGGAAGCGAAGCTCAGGCAACGGAGTCGGCACAACAGGCCAGGCATGCAAACAAAAGTGATGTAAGGGTGTTACTAAATGGAATAGGGTTTTGCGGGTTCCTTATTATGACAATAGTATGATATACCCCCACACCCTATTCTGAAGGACATAAACATAAGAAGGCTGGTGGACCGAAGCTGGATTTGAGGAGAACGTACTATTACTAGACAGAGAGTGCACAAAGAAGGACCTTCGGGCAATGCAAAACAAGCACAAGGCGAACCCCTCGAGAGGGTGATGCAATGTAGGAACCTGAATAAAAGACCTTCGTCCTTTATTAGGGTTCCTTATATGAATCCTACTATTTTGGTTATAGGCCCAGGGTTTCTTAAGCAGGTTCCTACATTAGGGAACTACTAGGATGACGTCCAGGAGTTGAGTTTGCTATCTGAATCTGTCGGTAGCTCAAACAGACCGACAGGTAGACAGATGTTGCTTGAAACGCCCTAAGCCCTACCGCGGAGCGATGTCAGAAACCCTAAACTCTTGACACTTACACCCCACGGTAATGTGCCAGGCAGACTGTTCTCCATGGAAGAATATTGCGAATCACACCTCGGGCAGTGTAGGTTTCTTTAAATGGTTCCCTTACAGTGATGGGGCGGGGCGGGAGGCGGGGGTAGGGGCGAGGTCTGCTTTCTTTTTGTTTGGAGAGAACATGGAAATCTAAGGAATGCATGAACACATGGAGAATATATAGAATATGGGAACAAATAACATGCGTGGTAATGTGAGTGTGGTAGGAATGACAATGTAATCTGAATACGCTTTTGTCGTGTGTGGTCGAAGTGAGACCAAGAACCCAGATCCAGAACCAAACTATGTCAAGTGCATGGCTTCACACATTCCATATCTGTTTGTTAAATGAACAGAAAATAAGAAAACGACAGTGCTATCACAAAACACATCTTCCATGTTTGGTATGCTTGCAAATCATGTTGCGACAAATGCCTGTGTAAAAGTATGTAAGGAAACGGTGGTCTGGAGGGCTTCTAAAGTCTCAATGATGGAGCAGGCTATACTTATAGGGACGATAAGACAGCAATCTAGATTGCCTACTTCGAAACAATCCCGAAGCCCCTCATATCATCAGACTCCGAAGCTCAGCCCCTGGAACAAAGAGCCTGAACACCGAACGCTAAATCCCATTTCGGTATGGGATTTCGGGTTTTGGAGTTTAGGGTTTGGGGTCTAGGGCCCTACATTCTGAAACCTCAAAGCCTGAAATTATAACATAGGATCTTGCATGTTGCTTCGGGTTTCTTGATGCAGGGGAAGTATAGAAACCCAAACCTGCCCAACTCCATCGGCCAAAGCCCTATTAAAAACAACAAACCTCAAGCCCTGCAAACTGCTCTTACAAAGCTCGACTACAGCACCACCACCTCAAACCGTAAAGCACTCCACCCCCCAAAACCTTTTAAACTCCAAACCCTGCACACCGGGAACCCTACTGTCTGTAGTACCCTAAATAGTACATAGGATTGTAGAATCCTTATTATAGGGACCCGAAAATAGTACGGAAGCCACCCTCAACCCTAAACTTTAAAATTATCCTAAATCCGAAACTTGCAAAAAAAACTCCGAAAACCTACAAAAAAAACTCCGAGATCTCGACCCGTAGACCCTCATCGGTGCCGGCGATCTCTGGAGACGGCGTCCTCCTCCGCCGCCTCCGCCGCCTCCGCCACCTCCGCCGCCTCCTGGCTTGCAGGGGTTTTATAAGCTTTTCATGAGGGTTTTATACGGTTTAATAGGTTCTAAACAGGTTTTATAAGTGTTTATATCGTTTTTATCATGAGGTTTTGGGTTTAATAGGTTTTAAACCTGGTTTTATATGGGTTTATACGGTTTTTATAATTTTATAGGGCTGAGAAAGTGTGTCTGGTGGGCTAGTGCTTAAGGTCGAGTTGAGCTTTATCTGGGGTAAGTTTTCGGATTTGGGGCTTCGGGAATCGAGGCTTGGGATTTCAGGTTCAGGCCATGGGGCTTTCAGTCTAGGGATCTGGAGGAGTGTGTCCAGAATCTTAGGTGTCGGGGGTAAGGTCTAAACCCTAAACCCCTACACCCTAAACCCCCAAACCCTAAGTGTCCGTAAACCCTAAATCCTTAGTGATGTAGGTTTGGGTCCCTGGTCCTCCCTCGGGCTTGGCGACCTTCAGGCACTTGACCTGGGACTGAGTGCAGATAGTCTCGCCAATGATTTTAGGAATACTCCGTCCTCATGTTGCATTGGAGGATCTTTCATCCTGCTCCAAGCTTGTTCGACAAGCTCTGGAAAGGCATTCGAAGGCATGTCTTTTTGCTTAAGTGAGGACAATCACAGAAGTAGTATTCGTCGCCGTGGTCGTCGTGGTAGTAGTACGTGTAGTAGCAGTAGTTGTCGTAGTAGTTGTAGTTGCTGTAGTAGTGGTAGTAGTAGTGGTAGTGGTAGTCGTCGTCGTCGTCGTGTCGTAGCAGTAGCAGTAGCAGTAGCAGTCGTCGTCGTTCGCAGTAGTAGCAGTAGTAGTAGTAGTAGCAGCAGTAGTAGTAGTCGTCGTCGTAGGAGTAGTAGTAGCAGTGTAGTCGTAGTCGTGGTGGCGGTGGTGGTGGTGGTGGTGGCGGTGGTAGTAGTAGTAGTAGTAGTAGTAGTAGTAGTAGTAGTAGTAGTAGTAGTAGTAGTAGTAGTAGTAGTAGTAGTAGTAGTAGTATAGTGTTCCGGCAAACGATTACCAAGATATTGCAAAACCCGAGTGGCTCTCGTTTGCTGGCACCACGTAGCAGTAGCAGTAGTGCTAGCAGTAGTGGTAGGTACGGTTGATGATAGAAATCCTGCATGACCCATAATAAGGAATATACCATAATTCCCAGAGTTGACGGTCCTCAGGGTAATGCAGGATTGAAACCATGAACCGCAGTAGTGGGAGTGGTAGTAGGAGTCGTCGTGACGGTGGCATTGGCATCGGTGTTGGTAGCGGCATGGTCGTAGTGGTGGTGGTGGTGGTTATACCCAGAAGCATTGGATGTCTAACATATATTATATAGTTGATGATTGCATACGCCGAAGAGTACACTTTCAATTTTAAACTCAAGGAAAGTTCTGTTGCGTTCTATTATACAAACAAGTGTAAAGGGCACCATTCAGCTACTGCGCAAGGATTTCTACTGGCTTGAATGTTCTTTCGATTCGCTCGATCGACCGTATGGCTGCCCCAAGGTTTGGGATAGGATGGTCGGCGTATGCAGGATGTTAAGGGTTTATTATATATAGGAGTTAGGACTGCCTTAGAAGGACAACGAACCCTGTAGCCGCAAGACCCTCAACCCTAAACCCCCAATCCTGAATTCCAAACAGCATTTCCAGATCACAAGGACCCTACACTCGATACCATTCCGTTGGCTCAGGTGGCGGAACCAACAAGTGCGAAGCCCCTCTCTTGGCGCTCCGGCAGCTTGTGGCGAATTGAGCTCGTAATACAAGTGCGACGTGACGTTCTCGCCCGGCGCTGCAGTACAAGAAGGAGCCCTGATGCGCATAGGGCTGTAGGAGCTTAGTACAGGAAAAGTATATGTCAAGGAACCTCAAAGCGCACTAACTATTGTGAATTATTCCGACTCCTAAACGCTAAACCACTACATTACCAGAAAGCCGAAGCTGCTAGCAAGGACAGGTTGTCATAAATGTTGATGGCTTTGCGGTCGAACAATTTCCCTGCGCCGACATGCATGCCTTCGAATGGTTCCTTGGAGTTTTGAGGCTTTGCGAGAACTAAAGTTCCGTCTTCGATTCGTTTAAGCCCTACCCATGTGGTATATACTTAGGCCCTAAAGTACCTACATAGGGACCCCTTCAAGGCTTAAGTATCTACTAGACGGGTACCATGGACCCTTATACCCTAAACCCTATAGAACCCCTTCAAGGAACCCTAGTACTCTACTGTAGAACTACCATGGGAGCCTTTGGGTAGGTTTAAAGTAAAAGCCAGAAAGTTGGAATATGATTATCCTAAGCCCTTTATGGTAAATTATAGGGTATCCTATCCTGAAACCATATTCCAACTTTCTGGAGTTCCCTTTAAACTGCAAACCTTCTGCGGCGCTGTGTACGCTGCTTCCCCCACGGGCCTGTGATCCGAGCCGTGGGCAGCATACCCAGGGACTCCAATATCCCTTAATTGAAGATATACCTTAGATTATAGTATAGGATCCCTACTATGATTTAAGGAATATACCTTAAATTATAGTAGGATCCCTATTATGATTTAAGGTATATTCCTTAATTAATGGATCTTGGAGTCTCTGGATACCATCGATGCATCAACCAATTCGCTTTAACGGGCGTTGTCATGGTGGCTTCCTCTCACAACTCACCTACGTTTGGCTAGTAGGGCCAGTAGGGAATGGAAGAATGGTAGTAATAGTAGTTATTGTACCCCATTCCTCCATTCCCTACTACCCAAAGGTAAGTTCAGCAGATTTTTTTGGCGCCTGGCTCTGCGCTCCGGCATTCTCCGGCCGCCCCAATGGAGCAGCCAGGTGACGTGGAGATCCAGGTGAAGTGATCTGTTTCCTACATGTGAAGAGACGTGTGGACCCGAGGTCCACCTTGGCTATCGCGACCAGGAATGTCAATTTACGAGACACTGCCTGCAAGCAGGCCTTCCGATTTTCCGACAACGAAGAAGCGTTGGATGGGCTCGCATCACATCCGCTGACAAAGCAGGGCTTATTTTGAGTTCTTACCTTGGGAAGCTTCCGAATGAGGCTAGTAGGCGATGAAGAATGGAGTCCCTTGGCGAAACCTCCCTCTGCTTCCAGGGACCTCATTATTGGGTCCTTCAAGGGGTCTAGGGCCCTAACTATAAGCTCCTTGGAAGCTTAGGGCCCGAAACCAAGTAAAACCGACCTTAACCCTGAATAACCTACCTTTTTTAGGGTTCCTTATTATGATTTCCTTATATAAGTCCTTCAAAAGGTAGGTCCTTTAGGGTAAAACCAAGAGCTTTGAGCCTCCAGGTGTTGGTATTGGTGCATTCCGTGGCCGAGTCGACCAGCAAATGCCTGGCAGTGCCCGTGCTTTTCTCCATACTGAACTTAGAACCCTAGCAAAAATTGTACTTTTAGCTGTTTCTTAGGGATTATAATAACCAAAAATTAAACATTACTGAAAAGTACCCCTAAGTTCTTTGTTTAGGAGTGCACAGAGGGAAAGATACATTGGGATATGAGTAGTTGTCGAAATTAAGGTCCCTTTTAGGCAATGAATGCACAGCCGCGTGGCGGCATGGACATTTTGGGTACCTTAAATATTAAGTGTCGTACTACATTTAGGACCCCAAAGGGACCCTAATTTTGACAACCACCCATATGGGAGTGTCTGGGATATTATCATGCCTCAAACTTACCCCAGCCATGGCCTCGTAGGATGCGAAGCAAAGCAGCTTAAGGACACCCCGAGAACTAGCTGCGGATTTAAAGGTTATACCACGTAATTAAGGGGTCATGACCCCCTATTTTGCAGGGTTTGGAGCTACAGGAAGACCAATCCCTAAAGATGCACAAGCAAATCACAAGAAGCCTCACACAACACCCAGAAAAGCAGCAGCAACAACAACAAGCTGTTAAAGTAAAAGCCAGAAAGTTGGAATATGATTATCCTAAACCCTTTATGGTAAATTATAGGGTATCCTACCCTGAAACCATATTCCAACTTTCTGGAGTCCCCTGTAACCCTGCGCCCGATTACCAAAGCCCTCCCATCGGCCCCAGGGTCCGACAGTGTTGAGATTAGCACAAGGGGTTTGGGGTTTAGGGTTTAGGGTTTAGGGGTTTAGGGGTTTAGGGTTTAGGGTTTAGGGGTTTAAGGTTTAGGGGTTTAGGGGTTTAGGGGTTTAGGGTTTAGGGGTTTAGGGGTTTAGGGTTTAGGGTTTAGGGTTCAGCAGCTCCGGGTCGAGCAGTTTTATAGTAGAGTTGTATTTACGGTCTTGATATAACACCCACCCACCCATAGAATCCCATAACATTAAGCAATATAATGTTCTTTCATCATCATTCAAAGAGTTCTACCTACAACTTAGCTTGTCAAACTAAGCCTTAAACCTTAAAGCCCAAGCCCTAGGCCTTAAACCCTAAAGCCCAAACCCTAGGCCCTAAACCCTAAAGCCCAAACCCTAGTGCCCAAACCCTAGGCCCTAAACCCTAAAGCCCAAACCCTAGGCCCTAAACCCTAGAGCCCAAACCCTAGAGCCCAAACCCCCTAGGCCCTAAACCCTGAAGCCAAACCCTATGCCCTAAACCCTAGGCCCTAAACCCTAAAGCCCAAACCCTAGGCCCTAAACCCTAGAGCCCAAACCCTAGAGCCCAAACCCCCTAGGCCCTAAACCCTGAAGCCAAACCCTATGCCCTAAACCCTAAAGCCCAAACCCTAGGCCCTAAACCCTAAAGCCCAAACCCTAGGTCCTAAACCCTAAAGCCCAAACCCTAGAGCCCTAAACCCTAAAGCCCAAACCCTAGAGCCCAAACCCTAGGCCCTAAACCGTAAAGCCCAAACCCTAGAGCCCAAACCCTAGGCCCTAAACCCTAAAGCCCAAACCGTAGGCCCTAAACCCTAAAGCCCAAACCCTAGAGCCCAAACCCTAGAGCCCAAACCCTAGAGCCCAAACCCTGGGCCCTAAACCTTAAAGCCAGACCCTAGGCCCTAAACCCTAGAGCCCAAACCCTGGGCCCGGTTTTTGCCAAGTTATTGGCAAAACCGCGAATGGATGCGGCAAACCAGATTGACAAAAAAAACGCCACGAAAAGGTCGAGCAACCGAGTAGGTTGCCCAATGCGTTCGCGGATATTTGCGTTTTTTTTTGACTTTTCGGGTCATTTGCTCAACCCGTTCGCGGTTTTTTGCCAATTTATTGGCAAAAACCTTGTTTTTTTTGCCAATTTTCTTTCGAAAACCGCGAAAGCATTAAAGTTTATATACATAAGTAATAGGGGTTTAGGGTTTAGGGTTTAGGGTTTTAGGGTTTAGGGTTTTAGGGTTTAGGGTTTTAGGGTTTAGGGTTTAGGGTCTATAACCAATGACTCAAACCCCTAGGTTACGCTTCGAGGCTTCATGGTTGAGGCTGTTGCGGACTGGGGGATTCGGGGGCTTGGGCTCTATGCGGTTCAAGCCAGGGCATTACTTGGAGGTTCATGGGACTTAGTAACTAGGGTTATAAACAAGGTAACTATACCTATAATGACTTATAACCCCAATTAAGGTACTTATAACTGTACTTACTAAGTCCCATGAACCTCCAAGTAGGGTTCGCCGCAGGAGTTCGCGAAACTACACAAACTTCGGAGTCCTCTGAGACAGACCTGTGGTCACGGTCTCTTAGTTGCTGAGTCCATAAGCCCCAAAAAGGTGTGCACTTTCAGTTTTATAGCGGGTAATATTATCCCAAAAAGTGTAAGTGTATCCACTCAGCTACTAAGGTCTCAATGCGACACATTCTGAGAACTGCTGAAACAAAAGACACAGCATAGCGAAGCTCTGAACCGGCAATTTCTCAAGCTCTGCACACTAAGCCGCACTCTAAAGCTAAACCCTAAACCCAAAAGCCCCGAGGCCCAAGAAAAAGAAATCTGAACCTCATATAGTACCCTACATAGTAGGATCCCTATTATAAGGACCCCAAAATAAGGTACCCCTATTTTTCGAGAGCAAGCAACTACGCGCCGGTAGGGCGTTCCTGTGTTCGATGTGGCCTTGGTTGCACCAAGTAACTAGGTTCTACCTTTATAAGGGATTACAAGGGCTCGTTTAAATCTATCTATAAGGCTACTATAAGGGTTTAGGGTTTAGGGTTGGGAGGCTGCTATACTAGGTTCCTGGGTAGCTCCATCATAATGAGGGTACCTTTATTCCTACTATTCGGCTTGCTTTGGTAAGGGGACCCTGCAACAGAGGGCGAAAGGGTACTACTCAGGAACCTAGTTCTGGTTTTGGGGTTTAGGGTATTACGGGCTGAGGATTTGGGGATGTTTGCGGTGTCGGCTTCTGGACTAACCCAGAGGGTCCAAGTATCCAAATAGTAGGGTTCTAAGTCCCAAAATCCATACTCTGAATGGTTTTTGGACCTTGAAACCCTACTATTTGGGTACTTGGACCCTTAGGGTAATTGCTTTCAGGTTTTGGTGGGATTCGGCCTTTGGAGTTTAGGACTTGATCTAGGATACCCAGTAACCTAAGAATAAAAAGGCCTCTCTTTTTGGTATTGGGTAACTTTATAAGGAACCTAGGACTACAAAAAGGGAATAAGGGTGCTACTGGGCATCCTAGTGATGCTTTGGTGGTTAGGGTTTCGGGTCTGGGGGTTTAGGGGTTTGGGGCTGTACTCCGAACGACAGCGCAAGGAATCGGTCATGCCGTATTCCCCCTTGACCACCTGCTCGCATCACAGAGGCTTCGCACGTACCCGGCAGTAGGCACTTCACGAAAAGGCCGCATCACTTGAACTGCATCAGGCTGGACGGAATGTGATTGTGATGGTCCAGCCGGCTGCCTTGGCCTGTGGTGATCCACGAGGCGTTGCCACCGGAGCATCTCCTGCCCGTCGGTGGCGGCACGAGCCCGGCAGACTGCAGTGCCTGCACTGGCGTGGTCGGCCTTGTGGATCCCGAAGGGGGAGTATCTCCATGCGAAGACGTAGTCCAGTTGCCATCGGCGTAATACAGGGAGATGCCAGAGTAGCCGTTGTGGGGCCAGCTGGCCCGGGATGGACAGCAGGCACCACCCTAAATCCTGAACCCCCCTGAAGTTGTAAACCGCGCAGGTGTTGGTTTTCAGTGCTCAACCCTGCACTGAACCGGTTGTCCCAGGGTTTGGGGTTCCGGGACCCAGGTTCTCAACCAATTTTGTCCGAAGGCTCTACATCATTATCAACCCCACACCGAACCTAAATTCCATATGGAACCCTTACACATTCCTATTGAAGCCGATATGCAACTCTATAACTCTATACACCCTCTCTGTCTCTAAAACCCCCTCACGCCATCAACCCCATAAAACTCCATGCAACGATGAACCCCTATACTACCCGAAAAGCACCGGTGACATCCCGCAACCCTTGAACCTACACCCCAAGCTATGAACACAGTCGCAAGGCACAAGCAGCTGAGTCCTCGGCGCTCCAGAAGGTACCCTCATCGCTCTTCAGGGACTTCAGGTAGGCGCCCGGACTGGCGAGGTTTAGTGTTTTGGGGCTTAGGGTTAGGGGTTTAGGGTTCAGGGCTTTAGGGATTCAGGGGCTTCGGAAGGTTTAGCACTGCTGTTCCAGGGTTGCTGCCTGGATTTAGGAATATCCTCGAGGTTGGGCTCAAGCTCTACACTCACGCCCCTAAAGCCTGTGTAAACCCTGAACCCTAAACCGAAACCCTAAACCCCTTAACCCTAAACCCTATGTATACCCTGAACCCTAAACCCTACACCCGAAAACCGCTTCTCCATTTGGGTATACACACGAGACGCGAAGCTGCAGGCTCCTTTTGGGGATATTTCTTAAGGGGCTACCGTAAGGGGTGTGAGTCAGTTAGAGAGGTTCTAAAGAAGGGCCTTGATAAGTAGGCTAGGTTTTGCCGTGCATTATGAGCTATATGATTAGATCCGGAGCTATAAGAATGCTCTATGCAACCCCAGGAGCTGCAAATAAAGAACACCCCAGACCCCGCGTCCCGTTTCTATGTTCCAACTTTAAGGTCTTTACTAGCGCCTCCGCTGGACCCTCTTGTTACATGGACCCTCTCTATCCCTTATAAACCATGGGAAAACCTAAGTAAATTAACCCCTACCTAAGCCCCAGAACGGACCCTTACGAACCTTACTGGTACATCGAGCACAGACTCTAAACCTGAAACCACCCATGGGGCGCCCGATCCCAGCGCCTCCCCACGTCCTTGCACTTGAGATCAAAGAGCAGGTCCAGTTGGCAAAGCTCCATGCATTCCCTGGGAGCTGTGAGGATCCCGGGTCCCTTTTAAGGGCTCCGATAAGGGTATCTGTAAGAGGGTTCCCCTTAACGAATGCTATAGGGTTCTATATAGGAGGGTTTCCTTTTAGGGTTCAGGGTCCATGTACCCAAGTAGTATACACTTTGGCCCAAAGATAACTAATTAGGGACTACTTAATGTGTTTATTTTTGGGGTACAGGGACCCCTAGATTCCTGTAAGGGTGCACTTGTAGCATGTACCTCTAAGCCAGCTTTTTGGTTGAAGATTTTAGTTCATGCTGTTAGAGCTCTAGCATTTTTTTGGATTTAGGGGTTTGGTGTGTGGCTTTTGTAGTCCAACCGATCTTGCAGAGGCTAAGGGATGAAACAACCCCAAGTTAAATCACGTGGGTGCTTCATCAAAAGAGCGGGGCTTTGGGCTCCTTTATAGTATACTTAATCAGGAACCCTGGTGAATAGTAACAGGAATTTATTTAGGCTTCTATAGTAGGGCTTGCTGCATCGATACCCGAAACCTTGGAGCAGAATGCAAGAGTGGGATACTTAGGGCTTAGGGTTTAGGGTTTAGGGTTTAGGGTTTAGGGTTTAGGGTTTAGGGTTTAGGGGGTTTAGGGTTTAGGGTTAATACAGTTATCATATCATGCCCCCTAGAACCCAGTTCTAATTCCCAAGGCCCTTTTTATTAGCTGGCTATTCTGGCTTCGTCTAGGGGTGAATACACCCTCCTCGACAAGATGAACCCTCTATAAGCCCTAAACCTCCCAGCCCCTCTGAAAAGGCGAAGCCCAGGGTAAACGCGACTTCCGTTGCTTCTTTATTCACAGCAATTCTGTTTTTTTTGCTTGGGGTTTAAGGTTTTTAGGGTTTAGGGGTTTAGGGGTTTAGGGCTCAAGGGGTTTAGGAGGGCATCCTCAGCCCCGAAGAGGTGCCCCGAAACGGCCATGCACGACGAAACTCAACCTTCGCATGTCACCCAATGCCTTTAGGGTTCGGGGTGGGTTTAGGATTTAGGGTTTAGGGTTCTTCCTGTATTCTTGGAAAACTATATAATATAGGGATCTCAATGATTAGAATAGTGTTCTGGGGCCCATTATACTGTACTTATAATGAGGACCCCCCCAAAAAAAACATTCTAGGTAATCATTAAGGCCCCTATAGTAGAAGACCGATAACCCTGAAGTACACAAACACGTCTTTGGTGACATTGTGTTGTCTTGCGAACACCAACCCACATTCCTAGGCCAGTCCGACAGATCCTACAACACGTCACATGCGCTAAAACCATCTATGCCACCAGGCTACAGCCTAAAGCCCAATAGTCCCTAAACCCTGAAGCACTAAATATTCACACCAAAAATCTCACACTCCAAACCACCAAAGCAATGTAGCACTAAACTCTGAAAGCTTGTAGCCTGCACTCCTCAAAGCCCAGAGACTCCAACATCCCTTACTTAAGGAATATACCTGAAATCATATTTGAGATCCTACTATAAGTTAAAAGATATTGCTTAATTCCCCTGTAGGAACCCTTATAGATCTCTTTGAGGAACCCTTAAGGACATATAATCCTTAATTAAGGGATATTGGAGTTTCTGGGAGCGTTTGACCTGACTAAGTGCTGCACCCGGGCCCGGGACCACCACCTGCTCAGAAGGGTTAAGGGCTCAGGGGGGTTTTAGGGGTTTTAGGGTTTAGGGGTTTAGGGTTTAGGGGTTAAGGGCAGTCTTAGTACTAGGATACCCAGTAACCTAAGAATAAAAAGGCCTCTCTTTGTGGTATTGGGTAACTTTATAAGGAACCTATGACTACAAAAAGGGAATAAGGGTACTACGGTTGATAATATAAATCCTGCATTCCCCATAATAAGAAAGATACCATTATTCCCATAGTGTAGGGTCCTTAGGGTAATGCAGGATTTATATCATCAACCGTAGGTCCTCGTATGCTTTAGCAGGTTTTCTTCACTATGCTGGTGGTTCTTTCAGGGTCCTTTATCCTCATGAAGGCCTCAAGTATTGCAAGGGGTCAGGGGTTTAGGGGTTTTAGAGGTTTGAGTTAAGGGTCTCAAGGTTTAGGGTTTAAGGGTTCAGGGGTTTCAGGGTATCCTTTACGGGGTCCTTTGAAGGGATCTAAAGGATTTAGGATTGAAGGGGTTAAGGGTTTTAGGGTTGAAGGTTTAAAGGTTTAGGCTTGATGGGTTTAAGTGTTTCAGGGCTTGGGGTTTAAGGGTTTAGGGGTTAAGGGTTCAGGGTTGAATTTAAAATTAAGCTAAGGGTTTAAGAGCGTTTCTTAGGGCAGGGCATCTACTTTTCAAAACAACCCATCCTCTCCATGAAACTAGGTATCCGAGAAAAGGGGTGGGGTATGAGCCTCTGAGTAGGGACTAGGTGTCAACGGTGGAAACCACGGCCCCTAGTATGGGCACTTAACTCTGGGATCCCTACTGTATACCCTATGCGGACCCTTAAGGGTCCCCAGAACTCCCTCAAAAAACCTAAGGGTCCATAGAAGGGGTCCATTTATAGTAACCCTTGTAGAGACCCTTTAAAGGAACCCTTATAGGGACCCCTTAAAGGAACCCTTATAGGGACCTAGGACCCTTTAAAGGAACCCTTATGGATCCCTTTAAAGGAACCCTTGTAGGGACCCTTTAAAGGAACTCTTGTGGATCCCTTTAAAGGCACCCTTATGGATTCCAGCCCATACCTCTAACTTTAGATGACAGGTTCGGCTCTAGGTTTTTAAGCTCCGATTCCCGC